GTTGGAGGAGAGTGGAGGGGTGAACCCCCAATGGGACTGTGTCTTAAGGTCTTTTGTGAGGTTTGTGTCTGTTTTGTGAGTCCAGGTGGGACACCGTGTGCAGGGAACAGGTGCTTTCATAACCCAGGCGGGACAAAATTAATGTTGGGTCCCTCGGACAAAGGCCGGTCAGGGAGGGGGGGGCTGGGAAGCAGCCAGAGGCGCCTTCCTCAGTTTCCCCTGCGGTATATTTCAAAGGAAGCGGTTGCTCCTGGGAACAATCTGGGCCTCTCAAGCGCAGGCAAAATTAGGGGGTGCCCTCTCTGGAACAGCCCCCCTAAAGGTGGGAACCCCCCTGGGTGGTCTTGTCAGGCTCTGCCAGATGTTTCCCCACTGGTGCTGGGAGCCCATCCTACCTCCGCAGCCCCTTTAGCCTCCTAACAGCCCTGAGAGGTAGGCCAGGAGGATAGGGGGGGGGGAGGCAGCGTGTGGCCCAGCACGAGAGGAAAGGATGGGGGAGAAGAAAGAAAGAAGGAAAGATGGATGGATGAATGGATGAATGGACAGCACNCGTAGCGCTCCAGCCCGGTCCCTCCTCCTCCGCCGCCGTCCTTGGCCTGCTTGGCGCCCGGCGGCCCCGGCGAACGGCCCTCGGGCATGGCGTGGCTGCGCTTCAGCTGCCGCGCCGTCTCGATCAGCAGCTCGATGCGGTCGGCGCCCTCGAAGTTGACGCAGCCCCGGCAGACGGCCTCGCTGAAGTCCCAGATCATGGCCCAGGGCATCTTGGGCAGGTCGCACAAGTAGCACCATTGTCTGCGGGACGCCTGCACCGAAGACATCTTGGCCGCCGCCCGCCCGCCCCGGTCCCCGAAAACGCCGCCCAAACAACCGGCCCGGCGAGGGGGGGGGGGGCGAAAGCTGGCCCTCGCCGCCTGGAAGGGGCTCCGTGCGGGGCGGGGGAAGCAGGCAGGCAGGCCGGAGCGGGCAGGCAGGCAGGCAGACGAGGCGAAGAGGGAGGGAAAAAAAGGGGGGGAATCCCCTCTCTCGCCTGCCCTCCTACATGGAGAAACTTACATAAGTCCCTCGCGAAGCCTGTCGGGAGATGTAGTCCTGGAATGGGAGGCGGGCTGGGATTGCGGTTGGGGGGGGGGCGCTCTTAAAGGACCCGCTGCGCTTTGATGGCCGGATTGCTGAGACTTTCAAAATCCTTTGCAGCAGGGATCCCCAAACTTGGCAACTTGAAGACTTGTGGACTTCAACTCCCAGAATTCCCTAGCAGACATGCAGCTACCTGGATGGCTGAGGGATTCTGGGAGTTGAAGTCCACAAGTTGCCAAAGTGTAGAGACCCCTGCAGTGAAAACCCTTAAGAGGATGGTGGGAGCGGGTTGCCCAACTGCTGCCTGGGGGTTGCATTGGAGCTTGGTACAATAGCTGCACGAGCCGGGGATGACGGATGTAGCAGCCACTCCACAGGGAGGATTGAGTGGACGACTGGCACCACCACGTAGTATCATTGCATCCTCCGCAGAGGTGTCCTTTGCTCTATCGATTAAAGCAGTGTTTCTCAACCTTGGCCACTTGAAGATGTCTGGACTTCAACTCCCAGAATTCCCTAGCAGACATGCAGCTACCTGGATGGCTGAGGGATTCTGGGAGTTGAAGTCCACAGGACTTAAAGTCGCCAAGGTTGAGAAACACTGTCTTAAACGACTGATTTTATCCCTTTTGCATCTTACCAAGGTGTGCGCCAGAAAGCGGAACTCCCCCTTCCACGCCTGCCCCCCCCCGCTCGCCGCTGGTGTGTCACAGGTGTTCACAAGT